TGGGTTAGCTTAATTTGGCTCTGAACAACCCGGCCCAGGAGCTACGCTTTTAGGCTGGCCTAAATCTATACATTAGCCAATGAACATTACATCTGGTACACACTACACGCGAGATCGTTCGGGGGTGTACACGGAGTGCGACTCGAAGCACTTTTCATCAAAAGGTCGCCCATGCTCGGAAACTGTAGAGCGTACAGAGCCTCACAAGTTTTCAACGCACTCCAAAGAAAAAACGAACGAAGCGATCGCGAGACAGGCATTTAATTCAATATTCATGATACAGTTACCCAATTAAAAGACCTCACTGTGAACTTATGATTGGGGAAAAAAAATTCTAGTGATACTAGGATGGGGCCTTGCCTCATAATAAATTCTGAGATTCATTTGCGCGTCTGTTGCTGTTCACGTGACCGTTCGCGGGAAATTTGTCAATTAGACGAATGGATACTGTAATTCACGATTCAACTGACCCCAGATCTGTGTTTTTTGTTTTGTTTTGTTTTGTTTTTTTTTATACCCTTACCATTACCGGTCGCCCTAAAAACTTCCTCCTGAGACAATACCTTTAGAAAATCCCTCTCACCAACCTTTTTATGACTAATTGGCATTGATTAACGCCACTTCTGAATAGCCAAGAACATTACTTTCGCTACACACCACTCGTGGGATTGTCCGGCCGATTGTGCGCGCGGTACGAAACATGTTTCATCACCATATACCGTTGGGCGGTAGAATCATAGTCTTCACTGTCTTGATTTTTGAGCGTTTACAAAGAAGCGAAGGAAAACATTTAACTCCGTTGAACCTTAACTTTGTTATGCACCGTTCAAGAATGTTCCGCGGAAGCAGACGCATTTTTTGCAAGAAAAGAAAGAGAAAGCCACAGCCGTGTACTCTAAACAAAATGATTAAAATGCCAAAGTGAAATGCACGCGTTTCATTGTTCTTCTTTATAGAAAAGTGAGAGTTAAGTCGCTAAATAAGAATTCTTAAATTTAAAAGTAAATATTTTTAGGTCCAGTTAACTTGGAAAATTTGCTTCACGCAACATTATGCGCATCGTTTTCATTTCGGAGGAACATGCTCATGAAAAGAGTGAAATATCAATCTGACATTTTACACTCTTTTCATATAATTTATTTGACATGCTGTGCGAGCAAAATTTGATTTTCCTGGAGTTCATTGCCTACGAGATTTCTTTTGATCAAGTCAGGATTCAAGCCAAGAGTGTATCGTGTTAAAAAGAGGCTCGATCCTATACCGGCTGAACATTTAAAAGTATACTTCCATATTTATTTGTGCAAAATTTGATTTCTTCCAAAGCATTAAAACGCGCAAGGTCAATTCCATATTGTAACATTTCCTCAAAGTGCGTCACTTACTTCCAAGAGCGCCAATCCCTATCCCGGGCATAATCCGGGACTT